CCAAAAGCACACACATGGCATATTATTAATTTAAAACATGCATTTGCATAAAATCACTGCCTTGCTGATTACATTATAGATTATTTGTCGTCGTGTTTTATTTGAATTTAGGCCATTATATATTATTGCTTTTATTTAAATTGATAAGACATTGTAAAGTGATAAAAGTGCAGATACAAGAGAGTTCAGTTCAGTTTAAGTATGAAGGCGGTCCCTTTTGCCATGTATTCAATAAGTAAAACGCCCAGTCCCAAAGATAGTTGTCATTAATACAAAGACTGGGTTTTGCATACCTTGGGAACGAAGTCACCTTATGGACCCACCGTTTTCATTACTGTTTTGTGTGTGTGCGTGGGGGGGAGGGGGTCTCGGTGAAAAACCCACGTTCCGTAAGAAATACTTGTTGACGTGCGGAGAAGCCCGCACACACACTTCTTTCTTTTCATGTGTACATATTGTTTAATTTTGTAACGTTTTTCAAACACTCGAATCGTGAAAAAACAGCACATTATTACAAAACAAACAAATTAAAAATTCTCCTAATTTCACCGCTTGTCCACATTATCAACCCACTTCGTCCCGAAACCACCAGATGCCGGGCCAAAGATCTTGAAAGAAACGACACGTTGCAGCTTTACAGCAACATTCATTCTTGGGGATTTCCACACCGGTCTCGCGTATGATTACCTCCACCATGTTGCGGTCTTTCCGCCAATCGATACCATCAAATCCTCAGTCTAAGTTAGGTACTGCAAGTTTTCGTGTTATTCTTCCTCCAATCCTGTAGCGTATTCCCCATTGCCTGATAAACTTGTTTGTCAACAGTGCTTCCAACATTAGGTAATAAACGACACTTCCGTTATCCTGCAGTTCTACTAGTTCACCCACACTCGGGTTGTTTTTCTCTAGTTCTTCCACTATGCCGAATTTCCTTTCTAATACCGACGCTATTCCTAGGGACTTTCGAAGTTCGCTAGCTACACAATGGGCTAGAGGGTATTCTGTCGACAACGCAAACAGATCGTGGCTCTTCTTCCTGGTCACACCAAAACGAGCCCTTCTGTGTTTGTGTACGACTTTTCGAACCTGAGCCAATGTCATATCTGGTTTTTCTCAGTACGCCTTTTCAACTCCTGAAAAGCAGCGAAACACTCTTCTGCCTGTGAAAATGTGGCACTTTTTGTAAAAAATTTTAGACTGGCCCACCGAAGATTCTCGCAGATTCTTCATGTGGTCTTCGAAGGTCCATCCCACTACAATGATGTTCATATAGACTAAATAAATGTTCCACCATAACCTTTTTTACCACGCTCTATTTTATATGAAACTCAAATGTCGCGGATGCGTTACACAATCCAAACGGCATGACTGTAATATGTCATAATCCCGATCAGATCGTAAATGCCATGTTTACCCGATCGTCTAGAGCTATTTCCACTTGACAATAATGAATTTTTAAATTCAAAGTCGAGAAAAACTTGGAACTGGAACGGGAACCAAGAGGATATCAAGCGCTTCGACAATTTGTGGAAGTAACCAAACCTTATGTTGAATTTCTACTACCATCGAAGGGCAGCATAACTCGTTTATGCTGGACCTTTTCCCCTAACCACAATGTTATTATACTACTTATCCAATTAGAAGTACTTTTTTTTATGTTTTTGTTCCGTAGTATGGAATTTACAAACTGTTTTGTATTAGTAGGAATAAAGAAACCTATTTATTACCTATTATGTTAGTATCTTTTTTAGTTGAGCATTTCAGAACGCCTGATCTTAAATATTCAGGGTTAGATTAGTGTCAGCTAAGCAGAATATATTAATCATAAATTGCTGAGATCGTCTTAGTGTTTCATAAGAGAATGATACTTCATCGATAGGAGTTACGCAAGAAAAATACGCCCAAAAACTACAATGTTAAAATCAGACCCAATTACCCACATACGTATTTCATTAATAAATGGGTTTCAGATTACGATATAGGAGAGAAAGAGCGGTCATTAAATAAAAAAAATAGGAATAACCTAAAAAGAAACGTGATAACAGATAAGGAATCCTGTGAAAATAAATTTACTTCGTAAAGGTTACAACCATGCCTTATTCACGTAAAGACGCTTAAATCAATAATTTAAACAATTTTAGCGCGATGGCTCTGGAAATTTTTCACTTGAGATATCAACATCACATCCGCTTGTGTGGCTCAGTGGTAGAACGTTGGGCTATATAGCCGGGAGTTCGAGTGTTCGAACCTGGGTTGAGGTGAATTTTTCGTCTGTGACAGAGATGGGAATTTCCTTAGATCAATTTCGAGCATTCTGCCGGCTGCTCCGAATTAGGTTTTCCTGCAGTTTTCCTAATTCGTAAATACCGTAGTAGTATAGAACAAGTTAAGACCTTCTGCAGGGACACCTCTAAAAAGCTTTATGCGGGTCACTCTGTAATTGGGCGAAAGCCTGTTGAGGGCCCAGAACAAGAGAGGGACATAAATAAATAAATAAATCACCTCTCGAAAATCAGAACCTATCCTTTCAACGACAAAAGCAAAAGTGATATTTCCTCTATACCAATGGTACCAACTACTTCTAACACACTAAGACCATTCCGTCAGTCACCCATTCAACGAAACAACCCGACGTTACAACCTGGACCATTCTTCTATAGATAACCCCCCAAGTAGGGGTGCGCCTTTTCGTGGTAGGAATTTTGAAACAATTTCTTCAAAATCGGATAGGCATACCCAACAACCTATTCAAAGACGTGCCACCCATCTTTGTAACCTTTATGGTTGCTGAGATGAAAATTAAAGAAGAAATGCAAATTTCACCACTTTTTTTTGGGGTGGCTCCCAAACGAAACACGTTGGACCCTCGGTTTATTTGGAAAAAGTGATTGTCTTGATCCCCTCTATCACCCAATTTTATTTACGTGCGGTCATATAACACCCTGTATATTTTAATAGAACACCTTGTACGATTTTAGTTGTTTCTGTCATTTTTTAAACTCTATATTGAAAGCTATTCACTTTTTGTTTTTTGTCAATGGTGCCATCTTATTAATTTTTTCCTTATAAGCGGGCGTTACTTTAATGAATCGTAGAGACCCTGTTTTTGGTGTTAAAAAATAAATTTGAGCATTAATATATTAATCCGAGTAAAGGGTAACACTTTGCTAACTAGAACGTTGGATTTAGTGTTACAGAGTAAAATCTTGAATTTAAAAGTCCGTTTTTATAAGAGATTTTCTGTGTCTAAACCCTGTAGTGTATATGTTACTCGATATTGTTTACAAAAGTACCTACCAATTAATTAATCAATTAATTAAATACAGAGTAGGCCGTGATAATAAAAAAATAACAAAACGTTCTGGCATTCTTTTGTTATTTTTTTATTATCAGGGCCTACTACGTTGCATAAGCATGTAATGAATTAATGCGTAGGTACTTTTGTGAAGAACATTGTATAATGCATATCCTCAAAACTACAGGGCCTAGACACAGAAATTGAAAAGAACACAATAATTAATATTATAGCAAACTAAAATGGCGGTATAGTTTCGTTTAAAAAATAGTTATATCACTTTGAAGTTCTGAAATTTTACAATTCCGTTGCGAGCACCCTGTATCAATAAAACTTTCTGATTATTAAAATGTCACTACGATTCATCAAAGTGAGGCTTGCCTTATGCGAAATTAAAATCAAAAAGTGACTAACTTTCAGACGTTAATAAATGACATCAAAACAACTAAAAATGTACAGGGTGTTTTATTTATAAAAAAACCAATTTATTTGCACTGTAAAAATGAGACACCCTGTACAATGTACGTACTATCAAGGCGCAGGCGCAAGCTGACATTTGCACAAAAGGCTTATTTTTTTTTACGAGGTATAAAGAATAAACATACAAGCTTTTTAATAGTAATATCGTATGCAGATTTTATTATGAAAAGTAAACAAAAAGATGTCATTTTTCTTGGCCTCCACATACATTATATCCTATCGGTACTAATTGTGTTTTAGTCCTGTAATTGATTGGCCCAATATACAACTCCAATTAACCGCATAATAAAATTCCGAATAAAAAAGTACATAAACCAGAAAAAAGTGCTAGTGGAAAAAATTATTTCGTCCGCGTTTGATATACGCGTTTTCGATATGAGTTATGGGACCCCGGTGGCAGCGGCGACGACTTGCCAAGGATTTCTATCAAATATGCACGCCCATGTATATGTATAGGTTCATGTAGTATACGTCCACACCTTCGACTACCCCTGCAGGACTACTGCGGTAAACTCGCAGAAGGAATGTCAAAATGCGCTCTTGAAATATATACGTCCTATTTGAGTCAGTGTTATACAGATATTGAACACGTTCATGAAGCATTTATGCTTACTTAAGATATAAGTTTATGAGCTTTCAGTGCGCGATAAAATGTAAATTGGAACGTTTTTTTTTCGAATTGAAGCTTCAATTCTTTAGTCGGGGGTAATTTTACTTAGTCCCTTTACGACGTGTATCAGCGATATTGGTATAAGAATAACGATTTCTATACATTGCGCTTTGATATCTCTTGCCAGAACAAAACACTTGGTTTCTAATCACTATTATTATGGCAAGAATCAGTGCTCTCGGGAATCGAGTGATTGGCAACCAATGAACTCGCCACATTCTGTTGCCAAGAAACCAGCACTTTTTGTATGATTTTGTCTTAATTCCATTGGTTGTTCAAATGAACTTCGAATAATACCTACTTCCTACGAATATGGCACTAGTGGTACATCATCATGAGTCATATGTTCTATTCTCGTCTAAAAAGTGAAATAATTCTCCCTCAACAGTGGGTCCAAGAAAAAAGCTTCTAACTCCAAGGTTTATCTTGTAATCTTCCATGTCGCAACTTAAAAGTTAAAACAGCAGTCACTAAGGTCGACACCTCCTTTTCTCTTACAAAATTCTGCAGATTCTATGAAAATGGCACTTGAAACTAATAAATTCAATGGCGAAGTGTAGTTTACAATCGGTTTATTTACAAAAAATAACATCTAAGTATAAATTAATCAATAAATAAAATAATCTTTGGTACAACGTAGCATACTACTTTTTTCCTATGGCTGCTGCGACTCCAAGGTAGCCTTGAGCGACAGGTAATACTTTTTCTGCGGCCTTAAATACCCTTTTCCCTGCTGCTTCCTATAAGGAAAACAAAAATTAATTAAACGAATTTCGAAACATAGAGCATTGATTGTAGGTAGAGAATTATTTAATGGTAAATCATACTTACAATTTTTTTCCACCCCTTCCATTTGGCTTCCGCATTGTTTACAAATGCAGACAAGACCAGCAAGGCGAATACAAAAATAACGCTGAATTTCATGTTGGAAGAATGTGTTGAGCGACGCTTCTTGTCGAATGGAACGAGAGCAAGGACTGATGAATTTAGAGAAGATTTATCTCAATTTATACACTAAACAGATGCGGATGATGAACCCGCGGGGAACTACTTCTGACCCGATAATCCGCGTAAATGCCGGCAATTTCTCGATATACGTTCCAACTTGTAATGTATGGAGAAAGGGATTACCCGTTTCATTCGCACTTTCTTTACAATGATTGGGAATTGACCGGCAACATACCACTGCGTATTGGATAAGTATAAAAACTACCGAATACTACGGGTGTGACGAAGAAAAATACACTTATCTGTAACGAATTATATCTTTGCAATAGTTATCAATTTGTCTATAAATAAATTACAAGTTCTTTAATATTATCATTAACTTTTAACAAACAAATATTAATTTAATGTTTTGTTCTTGTCTCGCTTGTACTTAATCCAGTCTTGTTCTTGCCGCGAAGATGGGAAGGACAAAAGTGAATTTAAGCAAGGGGCAAGATTTTTGTCAATAAATGTACACAAAACAATATTTATTGTTTAATACATTGCGCTAAAAAGTGGCGAATCAATACCACGTACAATACAAAACTTTATTTTATAGCAGAGGCCATATAAACCATTGTAAAGCTTCTGACAATTCCGAATTTAACGTAAAAAATAGCAAACTTATAGGTTCTGCCGTTGTGATGGTTTCCATAGAAACAACATTGTCATATGTTCTGAACGTCATTTTATATTGTGCTGCGGCGTCCCTCACGGTTAAAGAGCGACTTCAGCCTACTCATTCAATCCTATCAAAATGTCAATTTACCATATGCTATAAAACAAACAAAATAACTAGAGACGGGACAAGCAGCAAAAAGTCTGTTTTTTAATCAAATGATGAAGGGAGCCCTAAAGAGCCACATAATTACTGTAGAGAAACAATGTTTGGATTTACAAAAGCTGAATAATTGGCTTAGGTACCAATTAGCAGAAAAAAAATGACTTGAGAGGTTTTTCTAACAAAACAATAGAAAGAAAAGAAGTCCCTAGATATTTGAAGTACCGCAGTTCATTATGTTTAACCCAGTTATTTTGCCATTAATACCAAGTATGGTGCTATGCATCCAGGCAGTGCAGAACGAAATTTCCCAAAAATTGCAAACCAAGGGGAAAAACAAAATTTAGTTCATATGCATCAAGACAATGTGTCTTGCCTTTCCTCAGACGAAATTGTTGAATTAATAACGATTTTGCTTAAATGTGGGTATATCATCCCGAAGTAAGATGAAGAACATGTTCTACCTAGAGTACCCGTGTTCCTGGTGCGTTTCTGTACTAAGTAAAATATGTAATTACTTATCTAGAAGCACTGGCAAGGCTGTGGCCAATAATACCTATATTAAATGCATTGCAAAAAAAGATTTGTTAAGTACTCGATACTTTATTTTTTTTAATTTTTGTTTGAAACCTGAGAGCAACTTGAAATAGCAGCATTGCTTATCAAATCATCAATTCTCGTGAACTGTTTAAATTACCAGATGACAGCCCTGCATCGTTTACACAAAGTGTAACTTACATGCTAAAAGACAACACTACACAATATCCGTCTAAATACATACCTTCCTATACAACATTTTAACATCATGCATTTCAAACAAAATATACAAATACTTCAATCCAGACATAGCAAACGAAACATACAAACATATACATACTGCATAGGTATTGTACCTGGGTAGTTACACTTACAGGGGTTGAACTCGGGTTGACACTCTGCGCTCCTACAATAAAATTTAATTTCTACGGCACTGGCAAAAATGTTTCTGTAACAGTAATTAATCTATTACAATTTATTACCACGGCTGGCTCAATAATAAACCTTTATTTTATATCATATGTTAAAATGACATTTTAACAGGTTTGAATGAGTAGGCTAAGTCGATCTTTAACCGTGAGGGTAGATAGAGTGATCACTTTATCTGCTTGGGTAGATAAAATGAAACAAATGATTGTGCATTCTAATGACATCTGTCATTCTTATTTCAAATGCACGATTTAAAATGACGTTCAGAACATATGACAATTCCGTTTCTATAGAAACGATCGCTACGGCATTAAATTAGAATTTTACAATTCATGACAACAAGAAGAAATCACCAATGTTTTCGGTCTGGGTGCGCTTATCATTTATAAAAATACACAAATTTGTTCATGGGATAAACCCGCGTAAATCGACCTCTTCAGAATGACTTCAAATGCACATTCCTTATACAAAATCCCCAAAAACGATCGATTCATTTTTTATACAATACAAAAATTCAAAGAAAAATTGTTTTTGTCTATGCCTTCGAATTTTCTCAAACTTGGATTGAGCAGCAATTTGGAAAATTGGGTGGGGGGGGCATATTAGGCAACACGACCAGACCTCTTGTATTACCAGTTGAATTGGGTTACTTCTTGCAAATTAATTTCGAAAGATGGTTGACGTAATTTGATCCATGAATAAACCGTGCTGCAAGTTTACTTTGATTTAATTAATTGTTAATTGAGTTATCAACAGTAACCGATGTTCCACAATGTGCAAATGTAAAAAGATTGCCCTTGTAACTTGGGGTTATAATGTTTTATCAGCAAGCAGAAGATTGAATTAATTGTCTTTAACCTTTTTACCGGTAGCCGTTTTGTTTGTAATGTTATGAGAACCACGTATAAACAAATTATATCAGCCGTCCGATCGCCTCTTTCACGTAATGAACTTCTCTTTCTGCACAAAACCAGCCACGTATAATTAGTTTTACTTCCGATGGTAACTCTTAGGGAGTTTAGAAGGCCCCCGTATTCGTTAAACTCGTTAAAAATGGCGGCAGCGTCTTTGGTTGCGAGGCCAACGATTCTCCCACTCCACGATCTCAAAAATAGCGTAGAAAATCACAATATTCGCCTTGATTTCGTTTTACGCGATGTATAAATCGCATTTACAGTTCGCACCGAAGGTTCGGCTAAGAAATCAATACGCGATCGAAAAAATGTCCCGTTTGAGCGTCGTAGATTCTCTTCGAAGGTTTAAGTATGTCCCATCGGGTTTTCTCTTATACGACGATTGAAAATTTTGGAGCGAACCCGCTGCAAAACCAGCATTTACTCGGATTTTTAGGCATAAGCTTGCCCTTCTAATGCTGTGTTGCGACGGATTTTAAAGCCAGCAACACTGTAACGTTTCGGCTCTTATCTGCTTGAACCCTTGCTTCTTATCTTAAAGCACATTATTTCTCGAATATTAGTTCTGTTCTCTTTCATTATGAAACGATACACGTATAAAATTTCCTATACCGGCAAATTTGTACATTTAATAAAAAATCTTTCAAGCTTAAGGCTGGACAGTACACCCGTTCCGTTGCCCGAAAACGCGTGATTTCGTTCCACGATATCTTAATTCTGAGTGAAGTTGAAGAAGGGGTCGAATATTCCTGTGAAAGGTGAATGCTTTAGCTAGACAATAACGCCGGGGTTTACTAAAATGTTTTAAAATAATCTTTTTTTTAAGGGCAACGTCGAGGGCTGTTAGGGTGTCATATTTTGGAAAAGAAAAAAGGAAATAAATTTTCCTGGCGTTATTGCCTAGATATTAAGTTTACGAACGTATCTTAATTTTGGAAATTGTTCCAACTTCATTTATAGATAAGTTATCTTGGAAAAACAACTTAAAAGTTTTTCTAAAAAGCGCTAAAAGATAGCTTCCGCCGGGTGGCTGGTTTTATACAGATAGAAAATGTTCATTATAATTGGACTAAGTTTATGTTTTTACCATCGAACACAAATTAATATTATAAATAACCAAATTTGGGGATTGAGAATAGGCAACTTTACATACTCCGTTCTGTATGTACTGTCCAGCCTTAAAGCTACAAGGGTTCGCGGTTCACTCCTTTTGGGCCAGGAAATGAGGGTAAATAAAATCCAAAAATAATTGTCGAATAATGATGATTGTGAAAGGGTGTGTCAGTGCATTTTAACTAGAATGATACCCGTACCTCATTGATGAACGTTCTACTTGTTTGGTACCTCTTTGAAATTTAATTTTATTAGATCTTTACTCTTTATATTTAATCTTTGGACGTAATTCGTCTGTTTTGTAGTTTATTTACAAAAAATATTATCAATAAAAATACATAAATAAGACAATCTTTAGTACAATTTGATCAATTACTTTTTTCCTACAGCTGCTGCTACTCCTACATAGCCTTGAGCGACAGGTAAAACCTTTTCGGCAGCCTTAAGCACCCTTTTCCCAGCTTCTTCCTATGGAATCAAGAAGTAAGAGTATTGTATGCAATAATGCTAAATCTTCTACTTACAATTTTTTTCCAACCTTTCCATTTCGCTTCTGCATTGTTTACAAATGCAGACAAAACCACCAACGCGAATACAAAAATAACGCTGAATTTCATGAAGAATTGTTGAGCGAGTTACTTTTCGAATGAAACCAGAGCAAAGACGAATGCATTTGAAAAAACTTGATTTTAATTTATACGCTAAATAGAAGGGGATGATGAACCTGGGGAACTACTTCTAACCCGATAATCCGCATAAATGTCGGCTATTTCTCGCTACATACAAAAATATATGAAGAAAGGGATTCCCCCATTTGATTTCGCTTTCTTTACAATGAATGAGAATTGATCACCTACCTACAACATAAACTGCGTAATGGATTGGGTGATGCAAGCTAGCAAAGATTGTGGGTTTCGAAGAAACATACGATTTATGACTTATGTGTAACAAATTGTTTCATTATCAATTTGTCCATAAACAAAATAAAATTTTTTTCGTATTAATCATCTTTTATCTTTTTTTAATAAACAGTATGGCCATTGTTGGGAAAAAAGGGTGTTCTGAGTTAAACACATAAAACTGCACATTTTTTCCGATTATTATTACCTACCTCTTATAATTTCTAAAATCCCCATACTACTTATTAAAAAAATCTCACCCTGTATATTATTACTTTTCAGCTCATTTTTGTAAATTTATTTGTAAAAAGGTAGCTTTTAATTTCACTTTGGCT